TTTGGGGTTTGGGGGTTTACGGGTTTAGAGTTTAGCGACACTTTCTGAAGCCATGAGAAGCACAACGACTTCAGTGAGTTATATGGGGCTTGGGGTTTAGGGTTTAGGACTTAGGGCTTGCGATGAGCAAGTTCATGCTGAAAGCAGCAGCCGCAGCAATATGGTAGCAACAATCACCATCAGGATGCTAACCATAGTCTAGTGCTGCTTCAAAACCCTCAACCCTAAACCCTAAACCCCCAAACCCTCAACCCTAAACCCCTAAAGCCCGAAACCCTCAACCCTAAACCCCTAAACCCTCAACCCTAAACCCTTAAACCCTAAATCCCTAAACCCCCAAACCCTAAATCCCTAAACCCCTAAACCCTAAACGACGGTGGGCTGAGACTTAGGTCGCAACAAACTCCACCATCTCGACCTTCCGAGACCCGGTGGCTTCGAGCACCCACCTGGGGCAAAGAATGCGTCAGGGTTTTAGGGTTTAGGGTTTACGGTTTAGGGTTGGTGTAGGGTTTAGGGTTCAGGGTTTGTTTAGGGTTTAGGGCTTAGGGTTGGTTTAGGGTTGGTTTAGGGTTTAGGGTTTAGGGTTAAGGGTTTAGAGTTGGTTTAGGGTTTAGGGTTGGTTTAGGGTTGGTTTAGGGTTTAGGGTTGGTTTAGGGTTTAGGGTTTAGGGTTGGTTTAGGGTTTAGGGTTTAGGGTGAAAACAACATGGGTAGCTCTCTTCTTTTGGGCTCCGAAAAGGGATCATTATTTCGAGAACTGCCCGAATACTGTGTACTTCGCTTATTTCTCAATGCTCCTGTTGCACGAAGCCTAGCGCTATTACTGCCACTGTCGATCTTGTTGCCAGTGTTGTCTACTGTGACATGCAATGGCGGTACGATGCAGACGACTGTGCTGAGGAATTAGTGTCGAGTCCAATTACGATGGACCCTTGCGACTCACGCTGCTACGAGTAGTGCACTCTCACTGTGGATACACGTCCGACCGTCAGAAATCACATATTGCTCCAAGTAGAAGATACTAAAACTATTCGGCTACCGATCAAGTCTTTCAGGACCTGGTGCAGCAAACACTTCGTCAAGACCGCCCAGGGCCCAGACTCGTACATTGGCGCGCGATCCTTGTACTCGATGGTTCGAAGAGCATGCGTGACGCCCTGTCATCTTCCGCAAGACGCAGGCCCGAGAGTCTGTCAACTAGTAGCAAAACACAACACTTTCGGTTTTAGGGATGAATTTCCGCAGAGATGTTCTTTGATGCTTGGCTAAGGATTTCAGCGGCATTGCGGCCTCGAGTGCATCCACCACTGGGCAGGCAAAGTCGTACGTGGGGTAGGCCTGCATCACATCTCTCGGCGATTGCCCAAAGAGAAGAGGTCAGGTTCAGCAGAGCTTGAGGCGGCACCTTGTACTTGAAGCCATGCTTGTGGTGGGGCCTCAAGCGAAGGAGGAAGAGCTTCCTGGATAAACACTAGACTCGAACAAGCACAACCCTATGCGCTTTTGTCTTGATCGTGTTTGTTTGAACAGTATACTACAACTATTCCTACCCTAGGCCTGAAAGACCCTCAGACCCTAGGCTTAAACCCTGATTTTAAATCCCACGCCCTACAGTACACTAAAGCCTAAAACTTCAATACACGATGGCGATCTCGAGCTGGGTCCACGATGCTCAGACAAATAACATGGGGTCTTAGTCTTAGCAGTTTGGAAGCTCTAGGACCCTCTAAAGTAGGGTTGATATTGTAGAATAGTTGCGTATGGACTTTATAATTTCTCGAAAAAGCTTGTGGTACATTTTTTAGTTTCTAGTATACAGGCACTAAGAGGAGAGATTATTCCTATTAATTAGTTCATAGAAGACCCCTATGTTACATGATGTCGGCTCACCGTGTCCCAAACGTGTCCGTCTTGCAGCGGTAGAAGACGGGATCGCGCAGACACTTGTTGGCGCACTGCATGTCCTGGCAAGCACAACAGCACGCCCCACAGGCCGTCAATCTTTAGGGGTTTAGGGTTTAGGGTTTAGGGATCCGTACAGGGAGATCCAAGCCCCGAGAACACATCCAGAACCCTTGAAAAATAGGAGGGAACTAAACTGAGAAAAGCTTCTTAAGTCCCGTAAAGAACCCTTATCGCCACTCTTCTAGAACCCACAGAACCCCCTACACAATGAAGCGAAAACCTTATAAAGAACCCTTATCGCCACTCTTCTAGAACCCGCAGAACCCGTATACAATAAAGCGAAAACATTATAAAGTCCCTTAAAGAACCCTTATCGTCACTCTTCTAGAACCCACAGAACCCCCTATACAATAAAGCCCTAAACCCTAAACCCTAAACCCCTAACAACAGGCCGGTGTCGCCATCTTCCCTCGGACGCACATCTTCAGCCCTTCCTCTGAGCCTCCGGCACAGCTGCTTGGAGAGGGCTTGGCTTTTTACGGCTTCAACGTTTTCTGTGGCGGTTTAGGGTTTTTAGGGTTTTTAGGGTTTAGGGTTTAGATTTTACCAAACCCTAAGCCCTAAACCGATGCGAGAGAGTATAATCTTGTTTTCAAGGTTTCTCGGTCTCGGGTTTGGGGCTCTCAGGGTTGATGCAGAGGTCTTAGCTTAGGGTTTAGTAGAGTTTAGGGTTTCGGTTTTGGGGTTCAAGGCTGGCATGGCAGCGAGCAGTCGTGGCTTCTAGCTCTGTGATTACCACTTGTCTCAACTTTCCGTCTTGCGCTTCTGCTGCTGCAACAACTGCTACTGCTACTGCTGCCACCACTGCTACTACTACTACTACTACTACTACTACTACTACTACTGCTACTGCTACTGCTACTGCTACTACTACTACTACTACTACTACTACTACCACCACCGCCACCACCACCACCACGAGTAGTGAACCTCCAACCCTACCGCTCTTGATTGTCTGGGAGAGCTGCTCTGGTTATACTTCACCAACCCTTCAAGCAACCCTTCTAGACTCTTATGGGGTTCTGGAGAGTGGGTTTCAGGCATTTGGGTGGTAGGGTGGTGGTTTTTTGGTTGAGGATAGGGGTTGAGGTGAGGTTTTGGTGGGATTCCTAGGGTGGGATACAGGGTTTGGGGTTGAGTTGCTTGGTGGTGGTATTATTACCCAAACTGGGCAAGGACTACTCTAACTCAAAGTAGCTCCTTGTAGATTACTATGAAATCTGAGGCCGCTGCCTTTGAGCATCTCCCCAAATCTCCGGAGATTCTCCTCCACCTTCCTCGGCTTGGGGCCGTTGGGGTTTCTGATTTCGTAGTTGTTTTTAAGCGTGCTATGTGCCACCAAAATATGCCACCTAAACGCTAAACATTCCTACACCCTAAACCGCCCTACACCCCAACCATTCCTAAATCCTTTACATCCGTACACCCTACACGCGAAATCCCAAACCCTAAACCCTACACCCCAATTAAACATGTCTAAACCCCAAAAGACCCTCATCAAAACGCCAAGGCCCCAGCTGGTCTCTGCATTTGCTGCAGACACCCTTGTCCCGCTCATTCCTCTGCATCTGCGAGTCTATGCTAGGGTTTCGGCTCAGGGCTTAGGGTTTAGGTCAGAGGGGCTGTGGTCCTACTGTATCGAGCTTGGGGTGAGGGGTCAGGAGTCTCAGCTACAGGCTGGTGCTGCTGTGTACGGGCTTGCATAACTAGCATAATGGGCAGGCTTTTGGAGCATGTGAGAAAGCGGACCCTAAGGCCCTACGCGAATACTATCACTCGGTAGTCATACCCCTATGGTAGGGTTTGGACATAATCATAATCTGGGAAACCCTAAAGAGGCCCTAAAGCCTAAACCCTACACCTTAAACCTGCAAGTCTTAGTGCAGTGACCCCAATGATGACCCTGCTTACCGAGGCCCCGTATCCCCCCAGTTAGCGGAATTGTTAACACTGGGGTTCAATTTAAAGGGGACCTGAACCCAATAGCCCTTAAAGGGACCCGATGATAGAACTCCACAGCCTTTAAGGGTACCTTTTTGAGGGGTCTTTGAGGAGTCTGGGGAGGCTTGACCAGAGCGCTCGAAGGAAGCCGTCCGCTTCTGGGTCCTCATCGTGTCCACGTCTGTGTCGTCCACGTATGCCTTCCCCTTTTTGATGAGCTCCTGCACAGCAGGGAAGTAAGTCCGAGGGTTCGGGGCTTTGGGGTTTAGGGTTTAGGGGCTTGGGGTTAAGGAAGTAATTAATGCCATAGTGATCCGGGACAGCCTTGAGGAAACTATGCCATAAGAGCCCACAAAGGCAAACAGCAGTGATGTTGCCGTCTGGGGTGTGTCTTGAAGGGCTTCTACGGCCTGAATTATTAGAATGGAGCTTAGGGATAGATTTTACCATAATTATACTGAGGAACCCCCAAAATAGCATAGGTAATTATTAAGGCCCGTATACTAGGGCTGAGAGATGGCCTTAGCTCAAGATCCGAATCTGCGCAGCAACCTTCGACCCTGCCCTAACCCCGTAGGCCTCAACCCAAAACGCAAAACCCTAAACCCTAAGCCCAAAACCCTAAATCCTCAACCCAAAGCCCTAAACCCCAAACCCTAAACCTTAAACCCTCAACCCTAAACCCAGACGACTCCTCCATGGCTGCTTGCAGCTGTTCGAAGTAGTCGGACGTGTGGCTAACCATGTCAGGTTTGATCTGCCTCACGACGGAGAGCGTCGTAGACTTTAGGGTTTAGGGTTTAGGGTTTAGGGTTTGGGGTTTAGGGCGTAGGGTCTGTGGCTTAGGGCCTTGGGGTTTGAGGGTTAGGGCTTTGGGCTTTAGAGTTTGAGGGCTAGACCTCATGGCTCTAGGGTTAGGGCTTAGGGCTTTAGGGTTTGAGGGTTCCGTCTTTTGGGTTTGAGGGCTAGGGTTTAGGGTTTGAGGATGTGATAGTTTAGGGTTGGGGGTTTAGGGTTTGATGGTGTTTGCATACTGAGCGGGTATCTCGTACTACATGCTACCACATACCCACACACACACATACGCGTACGCACATCTGGTAGACAAGTGCCAAACATCTTCCATAGTACAGATGCCGACAATTACTTTGCCTATCTTGCCGGCATGGTAAACCCTAAACCCTAAACCCGACGATTGCGGAAAATGCCGCAACCCTGCGCCCAAAGCAGTCTGGGCAGCAGGCAAAGTCGCAAGGTCCTGGCATGCTCGGCAAGGTTCCGAGGGTTTAGGGTTTAGGGTTTAGGGTTTAGGGCTTAGGGTTTAGGGTTTAGGGTTTAGGGTTTAGGGTCTAGGGTTTATAGGGTTTGGGGTGTGCAGCTGAAGAGTTCAGGATATTGCGGGTTTGCGGGTGCAAAGCGCGTTTCGATTTACGTCGAGACTCACCACCAAACCCTGCCCTTCGAATGTCCAGGAGACTTGAGACATCGCTACACGGAGCCTTGTAACGTCAAAGGCTACAAGGCCCGAGCAGCTCATTCGCTGAGGTGATCTAAATCCTAAGCCTGCCTAAAACCTAAACCGTCTATACCCTACACCCCTCTTCGCTAGGCAAGCTTTCATCCGTCTCAATTTGCAAGGCCTGCTTGAGGCTGGTAGCGTCAGGAAGGTGAAGCACATACCAACGCATGATAGAAGGCGCCATGTCTAGAGACAGCCCGAATGCATTATAGTATTATAGTCATAGTCATCATATTTTTGTCGCAATAGTAAAGTTTACCCCGCTTAATCACCCAAACCATAGTTTGATGGTTAAGGACAATATATGAGCTACAAAGTCTCAAGACCAGCCATCAGGGCTCCTCAATCATGCCTAAAGCTCACACCCTGAACCGCAAACCCTAAACCCTGAACCCTACACCCTACTGTAAACCCTACACCCTGAACCCGAAACCCTAAACCCCGAACCCTACACCTAAGAGAGGTCAGCGGCTCCTTGATCATGCTCTCCTCGAACTCCATCTTCTCCTTGCTCGGGTTCGTGTCGTCGAAGCGCACAATGAGCTTGCCCTGTGGCATTCTTGGTTTTGCGCTTAGATTTCAATGCCTGGTTTGGGGTTTAGTGTTTAGGGTTGGGGTTCAGGGCTTGAAGCAAAACCATGACTTGTGATGAGGTGCACAGCACTCTGCAAATCATCATTTGCACACTGCCGCTGCGTGTTATGTCTATTCTTGACAAGCTTCACTTCACTACTACAATCAATCCTTCGATTTATGACCACAACTACCGAACCTGCTACTTACTGTTACCCTATGCGACCTGCTTCCTGCTGATGTCGGACAAGAGCGCCTGCAACTACAACTACAGCTACATCAATAATTGCAACTATAACTACAACAGCTATAACAACTACTTGAATACGTAGTTGCTACTGCCACTGATACTGCTACTGCTACTACTACTACTACTACTACTACTACTACTACTACTACTGCTACTGCTTCTGCTACGACTACTACTGCTTCGTCTATGGCCGCTGCCGCTGCCACTGCGACTGCTGCTACCATTACTACTCTTACAGTGTGCCGGGAATTTAGAACACTTGTTTGAGCAGGATTGGGAATGCAATCTTGCAATCTTTTCAACCCAAGATCGCCAGTAGGGGAAGCCAGAGTGCCAAGCAATCTTGCAAGCTTGGTCTCCAAAAGGTAAACTAGTCGGCGAGCAAGCAGGGCAAGGGCGTCCAGCAATCTTGCAATCTTGGTCTCCCGAAAGTAAACTAGTCGGCGAGCAAGTGGGGCAAGTGAGCAAGATTATCAAGATAGCTCGGCAATCTTGCTCTTGCCCCGACCAAGATTTCCAAGACTACCAGGATGGATCGCTCAAACAACTAATTTCAAATTCCCGGCACAATGTACTACTACTACTACGACGACTACTACTACCACTACTACTACTACCTCCTACCGCTACCGCTACCGCTACCGCTACCGCTACCGCTACCGCTACCGCTACCGCTACCGCTACCGCTGCTGCTGCTGCCAGTGCCAGTGCCAGTGCCAGTGCCAGTGCCAGTGCCAGTGCCAGTGC